TCACATACTCACATCTATAATAAGATATTAAATGTCATGAGAACAGTTTAAGCAAGCCTAGGAATGCCTCTGTATTTATAAATCAGGCACACATTTAAGCTGTTAAATTCTCATCGGCAACTCCATTGCTGCAACCTTGATGTACATGATCGATCAATTCGGTATGTGCTTGAAGTGTGGCTTGTCCATGGACGGGGATGGGTCATAGCTGCTGTAATCGTTCGTCTTGACCTTGAGCATCCGAGCTTGCACCAATGGCACTAGTGCTTCCTTCTGTTCAGTTCGTGCTGCCTACATATTGATTTTTACATACAAGTGAGCAAAACGGGTAGATAATTTTTGCCTGAAAAAGCTAGATATATATGAAGCCCATATAGAACTCAGGGAGATGAAAGGAGCGTTTTGGAAAGCCTGTCAGTTTAGTTTTCTTGCTATATACCTCTCCTTGTTGACGTAGGGCATCTTGATCCATCAAGAAACTGTAGTGTCTCCCTGAAAGAAGAAACCAGTGAAGACCATGAAGAGTCAAACGTATTTCCTCCAAAAAAAAGATAAATCACACATTCACACCTCCGATCCTACACATAACTGGAACCTATTATTTAGTTCCGTCACCAGATATGCATGCTTTCCAAGATCTACTTATCTCGTATCTTGTTGAAACTTAATATAAACTAGGCCGGACCAGCTGGATGGAGCTTGTTTTAGAGCGAGGTAAAACAGGACATTGAGTACTCAATAACCATATCTTTACGGATTCAAGGCTTGAATCATGGAAAACAAACTCAAGGACCTCTAGGAGGAAGAAAGAACTACTCGCACAAACCAGCAAATGAAGTCGAGAACAAGGCGAAGGTGATGAAAGCAAAGAGGTGGCCAGATCTCCATGGGCATGGCAGCGTCCCCATTTCTGAAATCATGCACTGGATATACTCTGGTAACACGCCCAAAACATGAACCTGAAGCGAGGTGAAGTGAAGCAGGCCTTATTTTTGCCCCACCTTTCTTTGGCCACGGCAGCCTAATATATAACCAAGTCAGCTGGGCAGTCTCTAGTCTGCAACAGATGCTAATCCCACTTCCTTTCAACAAGTTCCAAGGGAAAAGGGTTTTGAGAATTTTCTGTGGGCAGAGTGTCAGGCTGTCACCTGCTTTCTGCTGCATGGAATTTTAAGGATGGGGTAATCATGGTTGGTCTATGCTTGCTTACTACTTTTTAAATATTTGTACAGTACTCCCTTCATTCCCAATTATAAGATGTTTTGGTTTTTCTAGACACGTATACTTAGATATATACATTATGCCTAGATATATGGTAAAAGCAATGTATCTAGAAAAGTCAAACCGTCTTATAATTTGGAACCGAGGGAGTACTTGACAATTGAAACTGGACAAATGTCTTCTTTCAGTTACAGTAATAATTTCTTTTATACTGCTTCTCCAGTACATCAGCACATGTTTTTTTTAGGAATGGCTATTCGGCCCGTTGATTTCAGTCAGGGCTTATCAGTCAGTCAATAGTGTTTTTCTCTCACAACAAAGTAGCACTAGCCGAGCGTATCAGCCTAGAAAACCAACCACCGAACAGGCCGATTGTATTTTGATGATGTGATTTCTGCCGGTTGTTGCTGGCATGCGCAATTCAAAGCTGGTTGTATGTGTTCTTTCTTTCGGTAATTTTTTTTTATTTTGAATTTAAGAGATCATTCTACATGCTGAGGAATATGATTACCAGTGTTAGCGTTGCGTTCCAAACTAGTGGGACAAAAAATAGTAGGTCGATGGACACCAGGATCTTCAGTATCTGCATGAAGTAATTTGATTCCTTCACCCTTTTTTTGTGTAATTAATTTATCGTCACCGGTAAACCTGGAATAATTAATGCACTCAAAAGCATAGTAGGTTGTTAAAAGAGGCAAGTTGGCTGAAATGAGAAACAGCTGCACAGTGCGTCACATTGTTCAGTATACACATTGGGATAGACATGAAACAGTGGTCACGCTGGCTCTCGTTTTTGCCACCACCGTATAGTTAGTGTTCACACGTTCCATCATCATGTCACGGGGAACACCTCAAAGGTAGAGCAGTGGCATGGAGGTAGATCAAAGGGAAAAGGCCTGCCACTGCCAGCCTAAAAGAATTGCCACCGACGATTTAGCGACCGGCCGCTTCTCATTGGTTTTGTAGATATGCACGATTTTTGCCCAATGGAAGCACTATGTTGCGGAATCAGGCAGAGGGAATACTGCAGGGGAAAGACACAATGCAAAGTGGCCTTGATGATACCCTGATAGAATGTGACCATCACCATGAACAACGATGCAAAGCATATTGTCACAAGAGGGCAGTAGTGGAGGATAAAGCAGGAGCTCCACTACGGGGTGAGTGATCTGAACAGTGACATTGTGATAACATGATCCGCACTATCAGAAATATACAACTTAGGAAAGGTCTAGTAATTTTGGTGGTCGAACAAAAACATAACTATTATAATAAATAATGTTTGCTAGTATACAAGATACACTAGCTAGTCCTAAGGATAGAAAGATGGACTTGACCTTGGATATGGTGAAGTTCAAGCAATTAACACCTCAAAAAAAGATCAAAGAATAGTGTTCGAGGCCCTAGAAGACAAGCGAGAAGCTCAAGACATCAAGAAAGCAAAGCTTGGACAATAGGATGCAAAGAAACAACACTCGGATAATAACAGTGGAGCTTTCCAATATGCACTGTAGTGCGCTAGAACAGTACGTAGCACCAAAGCTTTTCTATTGTGACGAGTCCGAGGTAGAGTAAGCAACAGTGCACGGTGTGCTTTCCATATGGGCACCAGAGTTTAGCACCGGAAATTCAGTACTGAGACCTTGCGCAAGGACGGTGGAGAAAATAAGAGCACCGGCATTCTCCAGTGAGGCACGGAGAGTGCACTAAAGATTGAAGGTGGAGTCCAGAAAGATTCTAGTCGTCTAGACAACGCCTAGATTTATTTGGTGCGGCACTAAGAATCCACCGGATGAATAGGCTTCCAATGGTCGGCAATGGGCGTGGCAGAGGCACCAAAATTCTCTAGCGTGGCCACGGGAACAATCCGTTGCTCATTGCAAATGCAGCCCAAAGGATCCAACGGCTAGTTGAGTTGGCTGGGGCTATATATATCTCTGTACCCGGCTGTTTTGGAGTGTGTCGGAGTTTGAGAAAACTATAGGTGAGTTGAGACATATACACTTGTGCTCTATCCACCATATGCGCTTAAGAGAAGATTAGGTGATTAGATAAAGTACTTGGATTAGTGTTTAGGCTAGTTAGAGGTTGCATTAGCACATGAGGTTGTGGCTGTTGTACTGTTGCCTTCGGCGCTAGGGGTAAAATGGTAATTTTGTGTACAACACCGTTAGATCCTCAAACTAACGGAAGGGCCAAGAAAGCAAACGAATTTCGTTTTGGGGCTAAATAGGGAAGTTCAAACAAAAAGGGCCGAGAAAGGAAACATAATTTTTTTAGGGCCAAGGAACTAATTTCTCCTTATCAAAAGTCTGATTTCTATGGTGTTTGTTTTTTAAAAAATAGAAATTTACTGCTTGAAATAATGTTATTGTTGTATAGTTTTTTAGTTGGTGACTAATTCTGTAAATTTGTAAATGGAAATTTTATGTTTTTTTTTCTAGGGGAATGAAAATTTTATAAGTAGAAATATTGTTGGCCGGCTTTCTTGTGCTCTTCGGCCCAGTTTGCATCTATTTGCTCACTGCGTTGGGCCACTAGCTTTGAGCCTATCCGATGCAGTCCACCCTAAACTTCACCTGGTTGGTGGGCTGGTTTAATATTGAGTGTTTGAATAATTGACCAACAAATACAAATACAAAATCATTGCAAATCTAAAGTTACATGTCTAAAATAATTCCACCGTTTCACTAATTCGTGGTCAATGTTCAAATTTTGCAATGTCTAGTGCATATATAAGTAGAGAGAGATAAAACTTATTACAAAATAGAATTGAATGCTTAAAAAGTATAGAACAATTGAATAGCACTATGGGAACAATTAGGGATGAAAACAAATCGGATACGGACGGATATCACCGATATTACATTTGTTTTCATATTTCTGTCCGAATTCGGATAGTGTCAACTATGCTGGATAGGATATGATTTAATATCGACATCACAAATATACGATTTGAGTATTCGGATGCGGATACGGTATCGGATGTTGAATATCCGGACTCGGATACGGACAGATCTCAACCCCTATAAACGGATTCGGTCTCGAATACGGTCGGAAAATATCCGTACCGTTTTCATCTCTAGGAACAATGAGGCTTTACTTACTGGAACAAACCGACGGTAAGCACGAAAGGTAAGCACGAAAATTCTTAAAAAAACGACAGAACAATCATATTAGTTATGCGAACAACAAACCATATTATGAAACAATTTAAAATAAACAAAATAGACTGTCAAACATGCAACACGGTCTAAAAAGTAAATCATGGAGGATTGAAAAATATACAAGAATATTGCATTGCATTAGAGGGGAAATTCACTGTTGGAAAAGAAAATAGCAATAAACATGTAAAAAGTGCTATAGGACAATCAATTTTCTGCCGGTATAATAAAATTGTGTTGCGAAACAATTTAAATCAACAGCAAAAATAATCCAAACAACTTATCACATCCATGAAAGAAAAAAAATGAAAACTATACTACAAATACACAATACAAGGAAAAAATTAGAACTTAAGAGTTTAGCCCACTGTCTGGACTGAAACCGGATGTCGTGTGCACAAATTTCTCCACACAGTGCCCTATCCTAAACTGTACTGACTGTAGCGTTGTAGAAAGAGATACCACTAAATGTCAAAAATATCCTGCTACATCGTTCTCAGCTGAGCAACCATACCTCAGTGAAGTCAGAGGACGACTCCAAATTTACTAGTTCAAACATGCCATTGCTACTTATCCTTTGGCTTTCATGTCCCAACAACCAAACTGAGAAACAATATGGCCATGGCAATGGGGCTCTTCACCTTGCTACCGCCACTCGTTGCCGTCCTGATGATCCCCACTGTGAGCGCCGGTGATGAGGCGGCGCTGCTAACTTTCAAAGCACAAGTAGTCATCGATGGCAGTTCTGGTACGCTGGCCTCATGGAACAGCAGCACCAGCTTCTGCAGCTGGGAGGGCGTGACATGCAGCCGTCGGAGGCCAACACAGGTGTCGACGTTGAACTTGCAAGGCGGCGGTATCAAAGGAGCACTCCCCCCGGTAATAGGTAATCTGACTTACCTGCAGACGCTCAACCTGAGCGCCAATGAGCTATATGGTGAGATCCCAGCAAGCCTGGGCCATCTCCGGCGCCTGGAGACACTCGACCTTAGCAACAACTTATTCTCCGGGGAGTTCCCTGCTAATCTCAGCTCCTGCATCAGCATGACCATCATGGTGCTAGACGGCAACAAGCTTGGTGGTCACATTCCGGCCGAGCTCGGAGCAATGACTTCCCTGGAAGCAATATCGCTGAGCAACAACAGCTTTGCAGGACCCATACCGGTATCACTGGCCAATCTATCTCATCTGCAGTATCTCAGTCTCTCCAGCAACCAGCTCGATGGATCAATACCACCAGGACTCGGCAGCATTCAGAGCATGTGGCAACTCCATCTCTACAACAATAACCTCTCCGGTTTGCTTCCACTCTCTCTATACAACTTGTCTTCGCTGATCAGCTTTCAGGTAGGGGGCAACATGTTGCATGGAAGCATTCCTACTGATATCGGCAACCGATTCCCCAGCATGCAGATTCTTAGCTTGTCAAGTAACCAATTCACCGGGATAATCCCTTCTTCAGTATCTAATCTCTCCCATCTCACGACACTCAACCTCGCGCAAAATAGATTGAGTGGGCATGTGCCTGCCACTTTGGGGAGGGTGCGAGCTCTGCAAAAATTTCTCTTGACAGAAAACAAGCTTGAAGCAAATGATAAGGAGGGATGGGAATTCATCAATTCTCTATCAAACTGCAGCCAACTGCGGTGGTTGATACTCAGTGACAACTCTTTTGGAGGACACCTAGCAGGTTCAGTTGTGAACCTCTCAGTGACCCTTCAAAAGCTATACTTGGATGACAATAGGATCTCTGGGAGTATCCCTGCAGACATCGGAAATCTTGTTGGTCTCAACATACTGCTGACTGTGAACAATTCTATGTCAGGAGTGATTCCGGACAGCATTGGGAAACTAGAAAACTTGGTAGACCTTGGCCTGTATGGTAATGCCTTGTCAGGTCTCATACCACCGTCTATAGGAAATCTCACAAAATTAACTAGGTTCCTTGCATTTTACAACAATCTGGAAGGACCGATACCAGAAAGTCTTGGGAAGCTGAAGAATCTATTTATTCTTGATCTCTCGACAAATTACTACCTTAATGGTTCTATACCCAAGGCAATTTTGAAGCTTCCTTCACTTTCATGGTACTTAGATTTATCATATAATTCTCTTTCAGGACCCCTTCCATCAGAAGTTGGTACCATGACTAACCTCAACGAGTTAATCTTGTCAGGAAACAAGTTGTCTGGCCAAATACCTAGTAGCATTGGAAACTGCATAGTTTTGGTCAAACTTTTACTGGATAATAACTCGTTTGAGGGTAGCATACCTCAATCTCTAAGCAACTTGAAAGGACTCAGTGTATTGAATCTGATCATGAACAATTTGTCTGGTAGGATCCCTGATGCCATTGGTAGTATTAGAGCTCTACAACTGATAGGATTACGGATCCTACCGCGTAGATCACGGAGTCTGTAGGGGTGAGAGGGAGGTGGAGCAGGCTGGGAACCTCGCTGCCGGCAGCTGGACGCCGTGGTGGAGGATGGGCGGCTGCTGCTGTAGCCCTAACCTTCACGCGGCTACAGTAGCGGCGGCACTGTTCACGCGTGAACAGTAGAGGCGGCTAGGGTTTCTCCCGGCTCCCTGAGGAAGTCGGAAACAATAATATGTTTCTGTTTAATCTCACAAATAGAGTCTTACAAATATTTATATGTCTCTCTAATAGCGATAATTATAAAATAACCCTCTACCAATACTATAATTGCGACAATTATATGGGCCATAGCCCTCGATGGCGGCTTCCTCCTAGCCCTTATTTGGGCTGCGATTACGGTATGGGGATGCCGGTCATAACATCTCTCTCCTTTGCAAAAAACAATTTCGTCCTCGAGCTGGAAATCGGGGTGCTCGGCGCGGAACTCCTCGAGTGACTCCCACGTTGCATCATCTGCTGACAGACCGCGCCACTTGATCAAGATCTTCCAAACACCCCGGCGCTGCTGAGCGCGCAGGGCGCGTTCCGGGCCTGGCAGGGCCCGGCCATCCAAAGCCGGTGGCAAGACACCGGCGGCAGTGGGGGGATCGCCGCGGTGCTGCTTCAGGAGGCCCACATGAAAAACATCGTGGATGCGGGTGTCATCGGGCAGCTGGAGGCGGTAGGCGACGCGACCGATGCGCTCCAGCACGCGAAACGGCCCCGCCCAGCGCGGCCCCAACTTGCGCTTGGAGCGAGGGTCGAGGGACTGCTGCGTGGTGCGGTGAAGGAGACGCAGCCAGACCCACGAGCCCACCTCGAACTCCACATCCCTGTGGTTGGCGTCGTAGTAGCGTTTGGAGAGCTGCTGGGCTTGAAGGAGCCGCTGACGGACCTCAGCGAGCATCTCGTCGCGGCTGCGGAGTATGGCGTCGGCGGCCTCGGTACGAGCCGTTCCCGGCTGGTACGGCAATATGGGCGGCGGTGGTCGACCGTAGACGACCTCGAAAGGCGTGGCGCGGAGGGCGGTATGGAAAGAAGTATTGTAGCAATACTCCGCCCACGACAGCCAGTCCACCCACGCTCGAGGCCGGTCACCTGTAACACAGCGCAAATACATGGCAATCACCTTGTTGACCACCTCCGACTGGCCGTCCGTCTGAGGGTGGAAGGCGGTGCTCATGCGGAGCTTGACGCCCGCCATCTGGAAAAGGTCCCGCCACACGTGGCCGGTGAACACGGGGTCCCGGTCACTGACGATGGAGAGCGGGAACCCGTGGAGCCGTACAATGCCGTCGAAGAAAGCACGGGCGACCGACGCGGCCGTGTAGGGGTGCCCGAGCGCGATGAAGTGCGCGTACTTAGAGAAACGGTCGACGACGGTGAGGATAACCGACTTGCCGGCGACTTTGGGCAGCCCCTCGATGAAGTCGATCGAGATGTCCGCCCAAACTTGGGAGGGCACGTCGAGGGGCTGCAGCAGTCCCGCTGGCTGCAACGCCTCCGTCTTGTTGCGCTGGCACGTGGTGCAGGAACGCACCAAGTCGCGCACCAGTGCCCTGTCCCGCGGAATGTAGAACTCGGCACGGAGGCGGTGCAGCGTCTTCTGGGTCCCCTCATGGCCGGCGGCATGGGCCAGCAGGAGGACCTGGTGGCGGAGGTCCCCGTGATCCGGCACGAAGATACGAGACCCGTGGAGGAGGAGGCCGCTGTCCAGGCGCCACGGCTCCGCGAGCTCCCCGGCCTGGAGCTGCTGCAGCAGCCGCTGGCCATCCGGCGCCGTGGCTGTAGCGCGCCTGATGGCGTCGAGGAGGTCAAACGAAGGCCCGGACACAGCCACCGCTGCCCCGAGGGCGTCCGGCGACGGTACAGGCGCCACCGCCTCACTGTCGCGGCGTGACAGAGCGTCCGCCACGGTGTTGAGGCGGCCCGGGCGGTACTCCACGGTGAAGTCGAAGCCGAAAAGTTTGCTGATCCATTGGTGCTGTGGAACGGTAGACAAACGCTGATCAAGCAAAAATTTGAGACTGTAGTGGTCAGTGCGAACCAGGAAGGGGCGCCCCCACAAATACGGGCGCCAGTGGCGCACAGCTTGCACCAAGCCGATGAGCTCGCGTTCGTAGGCGGCGAGCTTGAGGTGGCGAGCTGCAAATGGCCTGCTGAAGTAGGCGAGGGGTCCCGCGCCCTGGTGGAGGACGGCGCCGAACCCCGCACCCGATGCATCGCAGTCGACCACGAAAGTAGCGTCGAAATCCGGCATCTGAAGCACGGGCCCCGTCGTCAAGGCGCGCTTGAGCGCCTCGAAAGCCGTCGACGCGTCGTCGTCCCACACGAACGCGTCTCGCCGCAAGAGTCGCGTGAGTGGGGCCGCGATGATGCCGAAGTCGCGGATGAACTTCCTGTAGTATCCCGCCAAGCCCAAGAAGCCGCGAAGGCCCCGGGCCGAGCGAGGTAGAGGCCACGCCGCCACCGCGTCGACCTTGTCGGCGTCCATGGCGACACCGCCCTCGGCGATGACATGGCCAAGATAGGTCACGGATGGCGCCCCGAACGAGCACTTGGAGCGCTTCAAGTATAGATGGTGCGCCCATAGGGCGCTGAGGACGATGTTGATGTGCTGCAGATGCTCGAACCACGACGAGCTGTAGATGAGGATATCATCGAAGAAAACGAGCACAAACCGCCGGAGGTAGGTGCGAAGCACATCGTTCATCAGGGCCTGGAAGGTGCCCGGGGCATTAGAAAGCCCGAAAGGCATCACCAGAAACTCGAAGTGGCCGTGGTGAGTGCGGAACGCCGTCTTGGAGATGTCGTCGGGATGCATCCGCACCGGATGATACCCCGAGCGTAGGGTCATTTTTTAGAAAAAGCGAGCTCCATGGAGCTCATCGAGGAGCTCATCGACCACCCAGATCGGGAACTTGTCCTTGGGCGTCTTGGCGTTGAGGGCGCGGTAGTCAATGCAGAAGCGCCACGACTGGTCCGCCTTGCGCACCAGCAAGACGGGCGCCGAGAAAGGTGAAGTGGTTGGCCTGATGATCCCTTGGGTGAGCATGGCGCGCCAAGACCGCCGCCGGCGGCTCATCCTTCAGGCTGGGGATAGCGGTAGGCGCGCGCCACCGCAGCGAGCACCCGTAGCAAGTGAATGCGGTGGTCGTACGCTCGCGCCGGCGGAAGGCCCGTGGGTTCGGTGAAGACGACGGCGTCGTCTTTGGAGGACGCCCGGCCAGCGCTGCTGTGTGGTCGGGGCAGCCGCGCATGCGGAAGCAGTGTCGAGAAATTTGAGAGGTGCAACCGCCCACCCCCCTCGCCAGTGACGGTGTGGCGCCGTCGCGCCAAAAACGACAGGTGAGGGCCTCGCGATCCCATAGTATGGGGCCCAAGGTGCGGATGAAGTCGAAGCCCATGATGAAGTCAAATCCGCCCAAGTTGAGGCCGACACACGTGATGGCGAAGTCCTCGTCGTAGATGCGAATGGGCACGTTGCGCGCGATGCCCTCACAAGGCATGCGGTCGCCATTGGCCACCGTGATCCGCAGGCGCTCCCCGCCCGCCGGAACGAGGCCCAGGCGGCGCATGGTCTCCCCCGACACGAAGTTATGGGTGGAGCCCGTGTCGAGGAGGGCCAGGAAGCGTTCGCCCTTGATGACGACGGGCAGCAGCATGGAGTTGGCGGCCCGAATACCTGCAACAGCCTAGAGGGAGACCACAAGGGCGTTAGCGGCAGCCATCTCTGGCCCGGCTAACTCACTGGACGGGGTGTCCTCAGTTGCCTCCACGGGAGTCTCCACGATGTAGTCGTCGACCTCCAGGTAGAAGAGGCGCTTGCACACGTGCCCGCGTACGTAAGGCTCGTCACAGTTGAAGCACAGCCCCTGGCGACGACGCTCCTGCTGTTCGTCCGGAGAGAGCAGACGAAAAGTGGGCGCCGGTGTCGGTGTAGGAGCTGCGGAGTCCAGGTTGACCGCAGGGGCGGCCGGGCGCCACGAGGCTGCGGGGCAGGTGGAGATACGCAATCCTCGAACGCCCGTGCCAAGTACATGGCGGTTTGGAGGTCGGGCGGTGCGCGGAGCTGAACCTGCTTGCGGAGCTGGTCCGGCAGCCCGCCAACGTACAACTCCGCCTTTTGGCGAGCGGAGAGGTTGCGGGCGTGGCACAGGATGGCATTGTAGCGCTCCGAGTAATCCTACATGGAAGAACCAAAAGGAAGGCGGGCAAGCTCCGCCAACCGTGTGCCCAGAACAGGGGGCCCGAAGCGGAGTGAACATAACTCGCGGAAGCGCTCCCAAGGGGGCATGCCCTCGTCCTGCTCCAGGGCGTAGTACCATGTCTCGGCAGCACCCCGAAGATGGTAGGACGCGAGCCATGTGCGCGCGGATGCTAGCGTCTGCTGACCGCGGAAGAACTGCTCGCACTGGTTCAACCAATTCAGGGGGTCTGCCGAGCCGTCGTACGTAGGAAACTCCAATTTGTAGAATTTGGGCCCCGCTTGTGCGCCCGCGAGGGCAGCACCAAGGCCCGGGTCAAAGCCCCCCCGCTGCTGGCCGCCCGAGGAAGAAGGCGCCCCGAAGAACAGCGAGCCGTCCACCCCCCCAGAGAGAGGACCGCCGGCGGAAGGCAGGGTTGGAACCGCTGTTGTCGCGATCGTCGTGGAGGGTGATGGGGTTGTCGACGTGGCTATCGAGTAGAGCGGAGCAGACGCCGTCACGGACGGCTGCAGCCAATCAGGCAGCGGTGACGGCGAGGCCGGCCATTGCAACAGATGGAGCGGAACTCCGGCCCCCGTCGACGGCATGCCGTAGGGGTAGGAAGTCGCTGGCGCAGTGGGGATCGGTGCCGTGGGCACCGGCGGCGGAGGCAGTGGTGGTGCGGGAAACGGCGGCGGTGGAGGCGCCTGGAGCAGGCCGGCCCACGCCGTCTGCATGGAGACCACCGCGTTGGCGATCAGATCAACCTTGGCCCCCAGCGATTCCAACGTCAGGGGCTGGGCAGAGGCGTTGGACGCCTCCGACAACTCCGACGACGCAGCGGTCGGCGGCGAAGTGGTCACCGGGATGGAGGAACTCGGAGGAGCAGTCGTCATCGAACCAGGCAACGCTGATACCAGGTTGATAGGATTACGGATCCTACCGCGTAGATCACGGAGTCTGTAGGGGTGAGAGGGAGGTGGAGCAGGCTGGGAACCTCGCTGCCGGCGGCTGGACGCCGTGGTGGAGGATGGGCGGCTGCTGCTGTAGCCCTAACCTTCACGTAGCTACAGTAGCGGCGGCACTGTTCACGCGTGAACTGTAGAGGCGGCTAGGGTTTCTCCCGGCTCCCTGAGGAAGCCGGAAACAATAATATGTTTCTGCTTAATCTCACAAATAAAGTCTTACAAATATTTATATGTCTCTCTAATAGCGATAATTATAAAATAACCCTCTACCAATACTATAATTGCGACAATTATATGGGCCATAGCCCTCTGTTGGCCGGCTTCCCTCCTAGCCCTTAGCTGGGCTGCGACGGCTGTAGGGGATGCCGGTCATAACAACAACAGTTGTACCTAGCACAGAACAATTTGTCAGGGTCCATCCCAGAAGATTTGCAGAATTTGACATCGTTGTCTATATTGGATTTATCTTTCAATAATTTGCAGGGTGAGGTGCCAGACAAAGGTGCTTTCAGAAACCTAACTTACATATCAGTTGCTGGGAATAATCAGTTGTGCAGCAAAACACATCAACTTCACTTGGCAACTTGCTCTACAAGCCCATTAGGAAAGGACAAAAAGAAGAAATAAAAGTCTCTTGTAATTTCTTTGCTAACATCTATAATAGTCTTATCATCAGTTTCCGTTATTCTCCTTGTTTGGATGCTCTGGAAGAAGCGCAAACAAAGGCATAAGAGTACTGTAGAATCTCCAATTGCTGAACAATATGAAAGAATTTCATACCTTGCATTATCAAGAGGAACCAATGAGTTTTCAGAAGATAACTTGCTCGGAAGTGGTAGATATGGTGCTGTTTATAAATGCATTCTCGATAATCAGGACAAAACCGTGGCTGTCAAGGTCTTTAACCTTTGTCAATCTGGATCTTCCAAGAGTTTTGAGGCAGAATGTGAGGCCATGAGAAGGATACGACACCGTCGTCTTATAAAGATCATTACTTGTTGCTCGAGTACAGACCCCCAAGGTCAAGAGTTCAAGGCATTAGTTTTCGAATTTATGCCCAATGGTAGCTTAGATCTTTGGCTTCATAAAAAATCTCAGCTCACTTCAAGCAGGACACTTAGCCTTTCCCAGAGGTTGGATATAGCTGTTGATATAGTCACTGCAGTGGAGTTAGCTGTTGATATAGCTTCACAATAACTGTCAACCGCAGGTAATCCATTGTGACCTTAAGCCAAGCAACAATCTTCTTGCTGAAGATATGAGTGCCCGAGTAGGAGACTTCGGCATATCAAAATTTCTCCCAGAAAATACAAGGATACAAAATTCATATAGCTCAATCGGAATAAGAGGTTCCATTGGCTATGTTGCTCCAGGTGACAAAAATTCTTAATATTGTTATCTTGTGCGTTTCAAACAAATGTGACATGCTAATGGGTTTTTTTTTTCTGACGTAACTGTAGAGTATGGTGACGAAGGCTCTGCAATCTCAACATCTGGTGATATTTATAGTCTTGGCATATTGCTGCTTGAGATGTTTACCGGCAGGAGCCCAACAGACAACATGTTCAGAGATTCACTAGATCTGTATAAGTTCACCAGAGGAGGCTCTACCAGACAGAGACTTGGAGATAGCAGACTCAACAATATGGCTACACCAAGAACCGAAGAACAGCACTACTACGGGAAGTAGAATCCAGGAATGCTTGATTTCTATCTTCAGGATTGGGCTATCCTGCTCGAAGCAACAGCCTCGAGAGCGAGCATCGATAAGAGATGTTGTGGTGGAGATGCATGCGGTCCTCCAAGGGAATATGAGAGAGAGAGAGCATCCGCTAATCAGACATCCAGAGAGATTTCCTCAAATCATCATGACTCTCAAGGTGCAGTGCTGCAATAGCTCCTTGTCTCGTAGCCTCATGCAACCTAGCAATGTTGAATCATTGAATTCAAGCGATCAATACGAACGACTCAGAAGCTTACCTGCCATAGTGGCCCACATGGGGAAAAAACACCAAGGATAAGGAGGGTGGTAATATTTATTCTTGAAGTGTAATCTCAAGTTTCCAATCACCATGGGTGATTGCAGCGAACTGTCGTGAGAAGATAACTTTAGTTTCTCTATTTTGCAAAATAATTTTGAATTATGGGTCATCTTTTTGCAAAATGTAACTAAACATGTGTGTGAAAAGTACAAAAAGTTCCCCTCCAAAAAATTTCACATTTTGGACTCCAGACTCCCGAATCCGAAATTTTTCGCCTCGGTCCGCGGCCTAGATGCGCCTGTACCCCTCGCCCGCTCCCTCCCTACCCTATCCATTCGCTCGGCTGCCACTCTCCTTCCTTTCCCCATCTCCATCTCCGCCACTCTCCTCCACCGCCGCCGCGCTGATCTCCCTCGCAGCCGCTCCTCTCAGTCTCTCCCCCACCTCCTCCATCGCCAGCCTTCACCTTCTTCCCCACACTTCCTTCACCGCGGCCGGCCGTGCCCTCTCCGTGCGTAGATCGGGCTTTCAAGCCGCGTCCGAGCGCTCATGGACGGATTCGAAGGCAACGGCGGTGGGTACGAAAACGACGATGGCACCCGCGATTTCTTCTCCCAACCAGAGCACTCGTCGGCTTTCAACCTCTACTCCGACCCGCCGGCGCAGTTCCCAAGCTCAAGCTCCATCAGCGCTCAACGGGCCGGCCTCTCCTCCCTCGATCTCAACTCCAACGGCGAGGCTTGGCTCGGAATGGGGAGGTACGAGAACCTCCTACGCTACTGCTAGGACGAAGCAGATGGCGAGGGCGGCTTCTCCCCCTCTCCCGTGCGCGTCCGTGCCTCCGGGCGTACCCTTGGCGTTCGGACGGCACGATCCGGCGGCGGAGGAGGCGGCATGGCCGGCCGCGCGGGCCTGAACTCCGGCGCTCCGCGTGCCCCACGACCGCCTCCACTCTCCGGCAGCGGCACGCGTGGATCTTCGTCCACCGCACCTTCTGGATTGGTTCCCCGTCGCGGTCGCCGGTCCCATTCTCCGGCAACTCATCCGGCAGCCATGGTGGATGACAACTTCAATGTGGATCTGGTCGCAGATGGTGAAGAAGACAACCTCGAAGAGATTCCGGCGCCCACTAGGAACGCTCGATCCTCGGTATGAACCATATCCTCCCTCGCTGGCTTACCATTTTCACGTGTTTTCATTTGCCGAATGCATGATGTGTATGTACGTATCTATGTTCCAATTTGGTTTAGGCTAAAAAAGATAGATGCAATTGGAATGGGCCAAACACAGGTGTCCTGTGCACCCTGTGGTGTCAACAGATCAATAAGGGCAATTGCGTGAGAGGGAACATGACCAAAAAAAGGTGGGATGAGGTTCTAACTCGGTTTAGAGCAACCACCAATTTGGTTCATGATAAGGAACAGCTTGGTAGTAGGTACAGGCAACTGAAATCCTTGTATGGGTTCATTAAGAAATTAAAGACTCAATCAGGCCTTAGTCGTAGAGAGGATGGGAGTGTCATAGCAACTGAAGATTGGTGGGAAAATAATACAAAGGTACTTGTACCCTCCTTTGTTAGATTTGTAGACAGTAGTGATATGTTTGTAGGCTTCTAAACTTTGAGTACCATCTGCAGGGCCACTCAGAATGGAAAAAGTTGAAGAATGGGTGGTTAGATTACTTGGAAGACCTAGAGCATATGTTTCATGGAGTGGCTGTTGATGGATCCACTGCATGTCCCTGGACAAGGAGAAGTTCTGGAAGTGGATGATGAAGAAGATGATGAAGAAGATGATGGCAATGATGATTCAGTTACCCCAGCGACACCAGTCACTCCTAGCAGCAATGGTAGCCTCAAGAGAGCTAGCAGCATATGCACAACTGCCAAAAGTCCTAAGAAGACCAAGTTAAAGAGTCCAGCCTTGAGGGCCATGAACAGATTCATGGCAAACAATGAAAGGATACAAGAGGAAAGGAACAAATACCTTGCTGCGGTTGTGGAAGCAAAGATCAGTGCCAAACAATCCAAGGAAGATGTCATGTTTGAGAAGATTAAGCAAGTTCAGCGTCTAGCTAAGGAATGTGGGGTCCAGGAGTTAGATCCTGTTCAATGGTTGGATGTGCTTCGTATCTGCCAGGATCCAATAGTCCGTGACTTCTTCATTGCAACTAATACTAATGAGGGGAGACGTGCGGTTATTGAGTTGCAAGGGTTTAGGGTACTAGGTGTAACACCCCGGTGTTACGCAAGCATTTAGGCACTACAAATCATGAACATAATACATCATCAAGCATCATAATCATACATGCATAATCATGTTAAATAATAACTGAAACAATACTTTGAAACATATGAAACATGCTCGTGAAACATGTATGTTGCATTACTGTTTAAATGAACTTGGGTTGTGTTTGTGCTTGTAATGATGTTTAACATGATTGTTTGAGAGTACAAATGACTTAGAAATGTTTCACGTGCATTTTGGAGCAAGGTTGGTATTCAAATTTTCTCAAATTTTGCTTTTAAAAATATTATTAAAAAAATGGTCAAAATACCCTTTATTTAGCTTTTAACTTCCATCTCAAAATCTGTTTGGATTTAGACCTTGCACCTTTTGACAAAGTTGTAGAGTTTAAATTTCTAAACAACTTTTATTTTGGGTCCAACTTTTGAAACTGCTTTGAAAAGGTTCAAAATTTCATTTGAATGAATTTGGAGAAGAAAATAAAAAGGAAAAATCACATTTTCACCTTAATGGGCCGTCGCCTCCCTTTTGGCCCAGCAGCACAGGCCGGCCTAGCCTGCCTCCACGCTGGCTCGCTCCCCCGCCCGCGCGCGCGCCGCGCCCGACCGGCGTCAGGCCGCGGCCGCCGCGTGGCCGCCGCACGCCGGTGACGGTGTACGGGTGGCACCCCAGCGGGCCCCGCCACTCCCCGCGCTCCCCTTCACCTGCCCGACCACGCCGCTCTCCCCACTCGCCTCTCCACTTCGCCAGCCGTAGCACAGCAGTAGAGCACGCGCACGCTCGCCTCCACCACCGCCCGCACCAGCGCCTCGCTGGAGTTGGCTCGCCCGGCCACCCCAGCTCGCCGTCGACCCCTCCATCTCGCCCTGAGCTCCGCCTCCACCTCGCGCACCCCATGCTCGCGTCGGTTCGCCTTGGTAAGCCTTCACCGGCCGTGAATCGCTCACTAGAGTGAGCTCCTCCTCGCCGGAGTGCTCCGCTCCGTGGACCTCGCCCCTCCGTCCTCCTTCTCGCTCTCTATTCTCACGCACCAGCACCACACTGACGCGGTGGAGCTCGCCAGCCATTCCCCGCGCCACATCTTGGCCGGAGATGGCCGGCCGGCGTCGGGCCGCGCCACCGCGCCGCCATGGACGCCGGTGAGCTTGCTCCCGAGCTCCACTGGCCATGGTAGATGTACCATTAGGTCCGCCTTGTCATGGGAAGCCTCTGGTGGTGACCTCACCGCCGACGAGCTCACCGGCGGCGAGAACCGCCGCGGCCGAGCTCCTCCCCTGCCGTAGTGACTGACCGGTGGGGCCAGGGGGCCCACTGTCAGCCGCTGGGGTGCACGTCTGTGTGCAGATCCGGGTGGATCTAGCATTTTTGAACCGGGATTTTCAGAAAGAATAAAAGAAATGATTTACAGATTTTATTTAAATGCTTTGGAAATTCATAACTTGCTCAAAATAGCTCCAAATTTGTTGAAATAAGTTTTGCTAGGTTTCTTGTGACTAGATCTATCTGTTAAAAATATTGCATGTCAAATTTGTGATACTTTTCTATGTAGCTTTATTTAAATTGAATAAATGCTGATTTCTTAGAAAATGTCTAGTAAATAAAATAATTATCAGAAAAATATGGTTCCAGTTTTGTTAATCTCCTTTAGTGATGTACTTTGTAGGAAAAATATATGTCATGCATGTTCTGTAGAGAAATATTGATGTGTAGTTCAAGTGCCTTTAATTGATGATTTTTATTATTTTAATAGAGAGCAAAAAGTGTATAAAACATGTGTATGATAATTTTTGTGCAGTGATTGTTTACTGTGTAGAACATAGAAAAAATATCAAATATGTTGTTTGACACTTTTCATAGTACAAAGTATTTTCATGCTTAATTATCAACCATAGCTTGTCATTTTTGTGTAGGCTGTTATACTTATCCACATGCAATGAAAATTTTATGGTAGACTAATTATTGGCTAAGGAAGCTACTGTAATTTTCTCATAATTTTATGAGCACTAGAAATATATGTTGTTGTAGTCCTAGTTTAGAATGAAATAAAATAATCTTCTTTAATGCATGTTTAGTTAATAATGTTTGCTTTGGTGTATCTTTGAAGCATTTTAGCTTGCTGTGTTGACTTGGCATGTTAGTACAGTGGTTGTAGTAGTAGTATAATAGTACATGTTCTTGGGTGATGTTGGCTACCTTGTAGAAGAGCTTTACTTCTACTATGTTCAATAAAGTTAAACATGTTCATCTACATTTCCATACATCATGATCATTACATGTCATCTCTCCGATGCACCTATGCATGAGTATTTATACATCTGCATCATACAGGATCGCAGGAGGAGTTGCTAATAGCAGTTCAGGAAGAGCAGACCGGGACAGATCCACAAGAAATCCAGGCACAGGAGGTGCCAGAGGAAGAGGAGCAAGGAGAGGACTTGCCCGAGTACGTGGATCATCAACCTAGTTCGTTCGAACGAGGCAAGCCCCGGAGCATTCTAAGCCTCCTACTTTATAAAAGCAATTCTTTCTATATATGAGTTTATATATTGTTGCATTAAGCTGTAGGAATTGATTGAAACCGTTGATGCATTTATTACTATCCTTGCCTACCTTATTACCTTGTTACCCTATTAGGTCGGGATCGAATAACTGCTTAGCATTGCTTAGACCGGTAGCGATCGGTGATTTCCGGTCACCTACATTTATAGGTGGTTACTGGAAGAATTTAGCTATAGAAAGAATGATATCCTGGAATTAACCATGTGTGATAGATAATTGGAGACCGGACAGAAAAAGTTGAAGGCAACCAGACAGGGTTCTAGGGTGCTGTTAGTTTTCTGTCTGTGTCGATTAAGGACCGATCGTTGCTCGTCCCTCTTGTCATGTTGAACGTATGCCTCATATTTAGCTGGCCGGATAAAGTACCTTTCGACCGCGAAGCTAGCGACACTATTCGAGCCGGGATAAACTCGGATTGACAGACTGGTGCTGAATGGGGTATGACGGGGACGTGAAGAGTGAGCCCAAGGTGCGTCCTAGCTGTCGGGCGGTCCCTGGGTAGTGTGGTCCATGACTGTTATCCCGCGGCTACTTAGAAAGTGTCATTAGTGATCTGTAGCTCACTTGATCGGTGAGTGTGGTTTGTGTGAGGAATAAATCACCAGCTGGTTAGGAATCGATTCGAATCGCCATCGCTCCTGGATAGTGAGCACTTGACTCGAGCTACAGCATCGTAGTAATTATGATGGAACACTGATGGTTATCTGGATGGTATGGGATCTGCTAAATCTAAGTTGGTAACTGGATGTTATTGGTTAATAAAGTGATTACTATAATATAGGTGCTTACCTAGATGGATAGGTCATAATAAAGATGATGCAAAGTACTTAAAATGGTTTCTTCATGATAGTTTATGCTTTTCACAAACAAGTCAGCTAGCCTACTAAAGAAAGCCTTGCATAATTCTTGGTGTCGCTTTATTTTGGTTTAAGACGGGTAAGTCTAGCTGAGTACCTTCTCGTACTCAAGGCGTTGTTCCCATTGTTGTTGCAGATGGTCAATGTACTACGGTTATTGCATTAACTGCCTATACCCAGCGATGGGCGACAATTAGGACCAAGGGCAATGGTCACTCCGTATCTCTCATCTGATGCTTTTGTTGGAAATGACTACCTGCTGGCACTGTATCTGAACCAAAAGTGTGTGTGTGGCTTTAAAACTATTTGCTTCCGCTATTTCAGTTTGAACTTGGGTTGTAATAACTTTATGTTCTAAACTCTGATGTATCCAACTGTCATTGTGAACTTTATGTAACATGGGACGATGATTGCTAAACTTGTACGATCTTGGTTTGTATGTCGATTGGTTTGAAATTCTTCGTGGTTTCACGGACTACCGGGTTATACGGGCTTAAGTTTACTAAATTATCTGCTTCGGCGGAAGATTTCCTTACTTAATCTCGTATAATTGGTCGGTTCTGTTACACTAGGCTGCAATTTCATTTATCTAGCATTAGTTCCATCAATTGAACTATGTTGTGTTATTTAATCAGTTCAACTATGTTCTGTTATTTAATCGGTTGAACTTGAAGTCATGAATGATGTGGTGTATGTGAAATCTGTGATGGATGATGTGGTTTCTGTGAGTTTTATTATGCTGAAATCTATTATGAATAAACTATGACTTATATTATGCTGATATATGAGTGAACTTTTATTCCAGTGGCTTATATGGTTCCAATTTGGTATATTTCAGTGACTTATATTCCAGTGACTTGTACTAATTATTGTTATTTATATGATCAGGCTGGAATTTCAGTGAGGCCATAGGTCATTTGTGATGATCAAGATGAGGATTCCAGTGATGATGAGATATTGTCACTTATTGCTGAGGATGGCAATTCAGAATTTCTGTCTGGTATGCTTATGTATGCCATGCATTATGATAAATACTGTACTAGGGCCCCATATAGGCAACCTTTCATGTCTGGGCTTCAGTGGGTGCAAATAAATTACAAGATAGAGATAGATGCTACAAAATATTTAGGATAAGCCCAACAATATTTTATAGGTTGCATGAGTTGCTTACAGAGTCATATGGCTTGAAATCTAGTAAGAAGTCTAGTTCAATTGAAGCCTTAGGAATGTTTCTGTGGATGGTTGGTGCACCTCAGTCAGTCAGGCAAGCTGAGGACGGGTTAGAGAGGTCACTAGGCATAGTCCATACCAATTTCTATAAGGTGTTGAAATGCCTGACAAAACTAACTAAGGACATCATTAAGCCCGAGGACTCAGATTTTACAGCAATCCATCCTAGGCTGATGAGTCCACGGTTCTATCTATTTTTCAAGGATTGTATAGGAGCAATTGACGGCACTCATGTACCTTGTGTTGTGCCAAGTCATAAGGTGATTCAACACGTGTCGCAAGGGAATGACAACCTAAAATGTGTTGGCTGTTTGTAACTTCGACATGAAGTTCACCTTTGTGCTTGCTGGATGGCCTGGATCAGTGCATGATATGAGAGTTTTCACTGATGCCACTACGACCTTCGGCCATGTCTTTCCACACCCACCAACAGGTAAACACCCATCAAGATGGAATGGCCAGATTACTTGTGATCGAGGTCACTAACTAACTGGTTGTGATGTGTAGGTAAATACTACATGGTCGATTCCGGCTATCCAAACCGGCCAGGATACCTTGCACCTTACAAGGGAACCATGTATCATCTGTCGGAGTATCGTCATGCCCAGGAACCTCAAGGTAAAAAAGACATCTTCAACTTTGCACATTCGTCTCTTAGAAATGTCATCGAGAGGTCTTTTGGGGTTTTAAAGATGAAGTGGAGGATTTTGTTGAGTATGCCGAGATATCCACCTCATGTGCAAAAGCCAAATAATAGTAGCTTGCATGGCACTGCATAATTTTATTAGGAGCAGTGGCATAGTGGACAAGGATTTTGATCGGTTGTGATTGTGATGAGAATTATGTGCCACCCGAAGCTCTGGCATCGCAGCCACAAACTCAGGCCTCGTCGTCAAGGGATGAATCTGCGTTGATGAATGCTTTCCGTGACTCAATTGCGCTTGCTTTGATGAATAGGACATAAAATTCGTACATGAGTGATGTGGTTTCTGTGTATGAGTGATTGGTTTGTTATATGTTGTAATACTTATGTTGTAATGCTTATGAGTGATTGGTGCCTTCAGTTGTAATGGACTTGTGACATTGAACATTTGTACATGAATTATATGGTTTCTGTGTATGAGTGATTATGTGCATGCAAATGTGCCGAGTAGCATGCATGTGCATAGCTGGTATTAATGGTCCAAAAGCATCATTTATTATGGCCAAATCTATCATCTTTTGTTACAGCTCAAAAGTTTTTAGGTACATCTAAACAGGGTCTGAAATTTTTTTGTAGAATTGGGTTTTCACCTTGAAAACATTTCGCAGAAAGTTTTCAACACATTTCGCATCTAAACACCACATTAATGTCTTCAAGATTTGAGATTTGTACGTAACACAAGTATATTGGTGAACTTAACATAACTCAATCCTTTGGCAAAACATGCTATTACCACATAGTTCTTGCTTAGCCAATTTACCATACAGAACTGAATATAGATACTCATATCAACAAGCGAGACTTGACAGAGCCCTGTATCGTAATCCAAACAAATGTAACTACTACATCTGCATCAGGCATGATTTTTGTTGCGCCATTCCTTAACCTGTCGTTCAAGGCTACCCCTTCCCCGATGCAGCAGTACAGCAGTAGTAATAACATCTCGAAGGAAATACCATACCATCACAGTTTTAAACATTCAGAAACAAGCACTTAATTGGAAACACCTTTGGCATGAAAGTTTGGATCCAGTCGAGAAAGTACAACAAAGATCTCCGTTTCTTGTCTTGTTCTAGCTGCTCCACTAAGTAAGTAATAATATAAAAAGAATATGACTGTTTGCCTGAATGCAAGCATACAGGATCACTCCTCCATAGCATCACCGCCCCCAGTGACCTCAACCTTCTGCTTGAGAGGTGTGATCTTTGTGGACAGTACCTCTGCAAAGAACAGAATCAAGCATTTACTTTATATTGTCCAATATGCCATATCCTGTATAACATTCATTAGCATGGAACTCACCAGTCTGCCCCTTGGTGAAGCTATATCCCTTTGAACTAGCATAAGTTCTGGGATTCGGCAACTGGTGGTTTCTCAAGTATTCTGTCTTCCCCTGGTAATGCAGGAATAGGTCAGCAGAGCAGTTTAAAGGGTTGTATTTCATGTTTTCCAATTTGCTCAAAGGCATCCATGGAAAATAGTAGCATGCAAGATGCAGTGTACAGTTTACTCAAATGAGCATCGGTGGAAATTAGTGATCAGAATTCAGTAGTGTAAATCAAACATGTCTCAAGTGTAACATATATCAAATCAAGTTCGATAAATATAATGTTGTGGAGATAATTTGAAAGTTCATTCTCTAATAAGTAAACAATACAGATTTTGCAGTGTTTTGTCAATTTCAGTCAATGAAATAGAAAATGCATCTGGTAGTATCAGTTCTTGTTCTACATTTGCTTCAAAAGTTTGCTTGGGCCTTCTCTGTTGGTGTTGTAAGTGAGATAAACCTATGTTCCCTCTAAAATTTTGTAAACGCTTGTTACTTTGGTTTCTTTGTAATGGATCTTGGCCAGGGTTTGGTCCTGGAACTATAAAATAAAAACAGAAAACACGTACCTTGGTTATCACACAGACATCCACGTTGCTTCCACTACCCAAGTCATTGAAGATACCTGCGCATATTGCATCCGACACCAGTTGTATTCCTTCTTCCCTCTAGAATATATAAAGGAATTTAATATCAAACTTTCGTAAATCAAAACAAACACCATCAAATGCAAGTTCAGTCACCACAGAAGGCAATATTACCAACATAGTTAAATGCAGGAACTATTGCTCTGATTCACTTACAGTGAGCCCTTCTTTGTACTTCGACTCGAACACTGACATCGCAGCAAGGGATCCAGAACCCATCGTGGCAAAAGGAAGAGTATCAGTGGAGCCATGTGGATAAACCTGCACATTCAAAGTTAATGTAACTACCCTAAATTACACTTACGCCAAGTAACAAACAGGTATACTCAGTTACTAACAGTGTGAAGATGTGGTCCAGTACAATCCACTCCACCAAGAACAAGGGCAGCACTGACATGACCTTGATACCTAAACATAACGGCATAAGCAGGTCAGACGTTGACACAATGACAAAAAAGTTGTAAATGTGCCTGTGAGAGGTACTCACCTAAAGAGGTGTGACTTCAGCAGTGTAAGAGCAGTTACGACTCTAGATTCGTGACCCGTTGCATAACGGTGCAGCTGTAGCTGCGAGCTGACCATGTCTGAAGTAAAGGAAGGAAATGTCACTAAGGAATTCAACGGAAGAAACGGGAGTTTGAAAGGGCAGTAAGATTTCATTGCTGTGGTCATCTACCTGTAACAGCCTCTGTGTCAGCAGCAGTTCCTGCTCCACAGCAATAAATGTTTGGCGCCATAAAGTGGATCTTCTCACAATTCTTATCAGCAACTATAGGCCCCTCAGTTGCCCTTGTGTCTGCCCCAAGAACAACCCCATCCTACATATGAAAGCATGATTTAGTCAAATGGTAACCTCAATGGATATGGGGCATATGAAACAATCCCTGTTCAAACACAATGCAAGGTCTTTCATCTATTAGCATTGGCTAAGAGCACCAGTGTATATACTAAAAAATTTTATAAAGTAATGACAAAATTACTGTCATCCATTGGATTTATTCAATCACAAGATGCAAATTAGGATCAATTAAGATTTGTCAGAGAATCATTTGCAGAGTATTTTTTTCATTAGGATGAAGAAATATTTATGTATATGTTTTCCCCTATAAGCTAATACAATGGAAACCAACAACAAAAAAACGGGGGCTTTCACTCCTAGGAGGGTAGTTTGCGCTGAACAATTTCCAAGTTTGCAACATCAGGACACACAGCAATGTGTCCATGTGCAACAGGAAGTTAAGCATGCGATTGATATCAGAAAGATTTTTCAATGTTTAGTTGAGATGCTCAGCACCCTAAAGAGATTTCCAGACCTCACTAACATTAAGAAGCAACAGCACTAGGCTGATGCATACAAAATTCGCAGACATGGTAAATTGGCAAATACCAAAAGGTATTTCATCTATTAGCACGGGCTAAGAGCAACAGCACACATAGTAAAAGTAGTTAAACAATTGTTAAGGCAAAATTACTATCAACCATGGATTTATTCAATCACAAGTTGATGCAAAACAGGATTCAATCAAGTAGCATTTGCCAGAGAATCATATGTAGAGTATTTCTGCATCACCAGGATGGAAAAGGTTGTATGTATAACTTTTCCCCTGAGCTAATACAATGGAATCCAACATAATGAAAGAATGGGGGGCTTTCACCCCTAAGAGGGTGGTTTGCGCAGAACATTTCGCTGATTTGCATCATCAGCACGTAGCACAATGCGGGCACGCGGAACAGATTGGTATGCAAGTGATTGATATCAGACAGATTTTTTTTTCTCGGCTCAATTGATCTGCTCGGCACCCTAAAAAGCGGTTTCCAAACCAAACTAACATGAATGAACAAACGGCAGCAACAAAAGGTTCATGCCTACCAAATTTGCAGAAACGGGTGCCGCTGAACCAGCAGAAGATACAGTAATTGCAGGAATACCAAAAGGCAGGCAACACAACAAGTGTAGGCGGCCGCACCTGAAAGACGAGGCCGACGATGGTTGTCCCAGTCTTCCTGAATCCCGGGAGCTTGAGCCCGTTCTTCTCCAGCATGTTGTTGCGGCGGCACAGGTCGAAGCTGAACCCGCCCTTGGCCGGGAGATCCATGGAGCCCGTCATCCTTCCTTCCTGCACCACAAAGGCACCGCCACGGGTCAAGGCCACGGCGAATCGCCACGGGAAGGAGCGGAGCGGAGCGGGTGAGATCCAAACAAAAATCGCTTGGATTAGGTTTCTGGGGGTACCTGGTGATGCTCGTCGCAGCTAGGTGAGGGGGGCGCGCGGCGTGCCTGACCTGAGGTCGGATACGAGGCTGGCGAGAGCGGCGGGAGGCGAGGAGATGTCGATGTAGTCCGATGCCGGCGCGAATCGCCCAGGCGGCGCGGGTGGATACTCGTTCTCGGACTCGGCTCAGCCAACTCGGAGAAAGGAGAGGAAGCACAATAGCAGGCTGAAAAACAAATGATTTCCACAGGAACTAATGAAAAACATTTTTTTACAAGAAAAAACATATAAACAACTAAAACAAATATATTAATAAGGGCACTCTCAATACAGAAATCATCCTAGTTTCTATGAACATTAATTGTATTGCCACTAAACGTTTTTCTGATGTGGCAAGATAGTTATTGAAAAGAGAGAAAAACATAGAAATCGGGTCTAAGTTATAAATCATGTCTACACGAGAACTATAACGACCCGAGTTCGTTACAACACTAGACAACCCTTTTAATCATTGAAAGAAGTCAACCATCGACCCTCCATAAGGCTGGAAAACGAGCTGGCTCGGCTCGGCTAGTCTCGTCTCGTTCTGGCTCGTTAAGATAACGAGCTAGCTCGGCTCGGCTCATTATCCTAACGAGCCAGAAAGCCAGCTCGGCTCGGCTCGTTAAAAGCTCGAGCTGGCTCGTTAAGCTCGTGAGCCAAGTATAAAAAATACACAAAATATAATATTTGCATTTATCTAAAGTTTGAGAATAATGATAATATAAAAAGAAATGCATCTAGACCAGTTACCAGTCAATTTATAGGGTCTAGATTAGTTACCAGTCAATTTGTAAAGTGCAAGACATGAAGTAATACAAAAACTAATATAAGTTTTGATACTTTTTTTTCTGAAAGCTTGGCTCGTTTAGCTCGCGAGCTGGCTCGAGTTGGCTCGTTATAGCTAACGAGCTAAAATCTTGACTCGGCTCGGCCGAGCCGAGCCGAGTCGAGTCAGCCACGAGCCGAGCGAGCTAACGAGCTTTGAGTTTTTCGTCCAGCCTTAACCCTCCATGAAGACTCGCAACATGCAACACGACGCCTGACATCAATGACCCATAGAAGCACCTTGTGAGAATCTCCGGATAACCATGGTCAGGCTTATATTCGAATCGGAAGAGAACATCTACATGAATTAGGATCCATCCCATTGACATCATCAACAGCAACCCAATCTCAAGGAACTACTTAAGATGCAATGCATTGGTCAACCACCTAATGACTTAGTCAATTCAGCAAAGACAGAGACTACCGGACAGTCCGCCAGTTTACCGGACCATCCGATGGAGCACGAAGCAGCAGTAGAAAGTGGGAAATGAGATGTTTGCCACTTAAGTGGTGGGACCCACATGTCCGCACGAAATGGGAAAGATATCTCTCAGCCGAAGCTTCACTCTCTAACTCATCATCCCATTTGCATCACTCTCTCTCTCTCTCTCTACTTACTCAAAGACAAGCAAGAACCCTAAAAACTAGAGAGGGGAGAGATTGGAGAAAGAATTGAAAAAGAGAAAGGAGAGGAAGGAGGGGAGCAACAGCAGCAGCCCATGGACACCCTCCACCCGCAACCTCTTTATGGTGAGCTCAAGAACTATCTTCATTTCTTGGATTCTCCACCCAATGGTCTAATTCATAGATTTGTGTGCAAGATTGGAGATCTCCTGCTGGTAGTAGCTCCACCATATGTAAGTAAGTTCAAGAAGTTCCTACCTAGCTCATTCATCCAACAAGTTCATGGATAGTCCCTTGATCCATCTCATGGGTATATTGCAAGAGGGAGTTCATATGAAGCCAAGCCAAGTTTGGATGGAGAACGTATGAGCAAAGGAAGCTTGGATCTTCATCCTTTTGCTATGGAAGCTCACAGATCTTGGAGCTAAGGTTTTAGCTTAATCTCATGGTTCATCCCCAAGTTCTTGAACCCTTAAGTCGGATCCTAAAGCCCTAACCACACTTAGCAAAACAAGCTCTAACCCTAGCTATCTTGAGCCTAGAGAGCTACCTAAACTATCCTAGAGATATCTTGGACATGCATAGATCACAGTTGAGCACATCTAAGTCTGAACCCCAAGATCACCCAAGAGCATAGGTTCTATCGCCCGACTGACGGAGGGTTTGTCAATAGTACGGAGTATCCGCTAATCCCGAGTCTAGCCATCAACAGCCTGAATTCCTTTCTGAGCGACACAGCAGAGTATTCGCCACCCGCGGCGGAGTGTCCGCCGAATTATAGAGGTGCACAACCAGGGAACCCAAGAGCACCAAGCCGATACCGGAGCGTCCATCATTCACGATGGAGTGTCCGATGAATTATAGAGAATAGTAACCCAGCAACCCGAGAGAATCCAGTTCCTACCGGAGTGTCCATCAATCGGTCGGACTATTCGATATTAGCAGCTAACCCTAGAAATGGCCATGTCCTAAACCTACTGGAGTATCCGTGGTTCCCACGGAGTACCCGACAACCTAAGCAGAACCAACCTAGAGACTACCCATCTTGGCACTGTGGCAGAACCTCCTAAATTATAGGGCCCACATGCACCTGTCGCTATCCAATGACCTCTGACGACTATGCATATGTCCCCAGTAACTTAAGAAGATTGTCGGGTGTCCACGGGGAACCCCGAATTATCCATGATTTCCGAGCAGGATCCCATTACAGAGTCATTGCAGTATTACAACAGTTTATTCAAATATATACATCAGAGTAATAACAGCAGAAGTCTTATAATAACTTAGTTTACAAAACAGTAGTTTCAAACCTTACAACTAAGTTCGATAAATATTACAAACCATAGTAGTGGAGTGGCATTATAACATAATACAAACACACAAATAGATTGCCCTGTCCAAGGGCCACGCATTTACTTATCATCATCGCATTGAACAACAGTCATGCAGCACGGTCCAAAGCAGACCTGCTCATGAGCTTCACCTGCAACAAGGGTCAACGAACCCTGAGTACAAAAGTACTCAACAAGACTTAACCGAAATAAAAACTGATAAGACTCAGGAATGCAGGCTCAGGGATTCAAGGTAGGGCTTTACCAATAATCAAAGTTCTTTTGCGTAAAAGCTCTTTAACAAGATTCTTTATATCAACATTTTTATCTTAAAAAAATCATATACAAAGCTAACATGATCCGAAATGAGATCATGAAACTTTGTATCCAACACTTTCTCAAACCTTACTCAAGTTCCAGTTATTAACTACGATGATGAACAGTGAGCTGAGTCTCCATAACCGAGGAGCAACGACGATTCGAACCGATTAAACCTAGCTGGGGATTCCAGACCACACGACATATGCAGGTCCCCGACCTACATATACCAACCTACCCTCAGATCCTCTAAAACAAGAATGGGTCCGCGCCACCCGAGAATACAGTACTCCACCAATCCAGCCCATTGCCACGTGGGTACACGCTATTCCTGCTATCTCTCCACTCCCAGTGCGCGAGTAGCCATTCTCGTAATAGAATCGTCAAGTTAAGGCTTACCGGAGTATGTGGTTAGTACTACAAAGTCTCACCTCATGTAGTTCAATAACGGACGGTTTCTTAATCTACACAGGCGGAAAGAACCCGCTCACAAGACCTCCATGTCTTGCGGCTCTCACACACCGAGTCCGCCCGGTCTAGATTTATTACTCCACATGCCCATTTTTTATGATCACATAAGTAACCAAACGTAACCAAAGATCCATTTAAAATTCGCAGGTGACAGGTAATCACCTGACTGTTATCTGTCTAAGCATAGCTAAGCATAACTAGGCAATTACGAATTAAAACTGGTAACCAGGTAGTTAGGGAAAAACAAGGTTGGTAATGCACCAATTAGGTTTTCACTCAACTCCTAATCACTTAATGCAGTACTTGAAAGCAAAAGCGATATAAATTTGTAAAACACAAGGTAGGTTTAAATGCATCCAGGGCTTGCCTTGGTTATCGGAAAAGTCTGGTTCCGGAGTCGTTTCACCTATCTCAATTCCAACCTCCATAGACGGATTAACTTCTTCCACAACTTGATTAACTACCACGTGCTCTCCTTCGTTCACTACACATAGTAACAATGCCATGTTTAACATGATACGAGATATAAAACATGATGCTCGATGATGGATGCAAAATTACCAACTTGAATACAACTTTCCTTCGCGGTACAGTTACAAGTCAAACTAACTACACATTTTTCGTAACACTTAATTCAATTGCCAAGGATCATTACCAACTAATGACCCAAGGTCATCACTCAATCCAAAATTCAAACAAAATCTAAGTTATTAAAGGTTACTATTTGCTTTTATGAATTATTTATTTAATTAAAAATTATGAAATAAATCAACTTGTTCTAATCGAGTTCAAAATTTTTGTAAAGGTTCATCACATGATAACTAAGTGGCAAAATAATTTTTATAATTTTTGGATAAATAAATAAGCCTATAAAATTCATGGAAAGTCATTTATTAATTAATTGAGTAATTTTTATCACATTCAAAAAGTACTAAAACAACATTTCATATTTTTCTTAAATAGTATACATCATAGAGAGGTCACAAAAATTTTCATAATTTTTGGAGCTCTAATTAATTCTACACAAAAATAACAAAAACATACACTATTCATCCATTTCTGAAAATAGAAAAAATCCATTTTCAAAACACCCGCTCACTGACAGCCCGACCCCACTTGTCATCCTCGACCTCTCGCGCTGACCGCGGCGACGGCGCGCTGACCGGCGATTTCTCGCCGCCGGTGGGATCAACGGCGACGGCGATAGTACCAACATGATCACAAAGGCAAGGCGCATCAATTGGTGTCACAAATTGCATCGATTACTGCACCAATCGAGCACGA